GACTCTCTTCGGGAACGTGCTCGTGTGCGCGGCCATCGTCCGCTACCGGCACCTGCGGAGCAAGGTTACCAACATCTTCATCGTGTCCCTGGCTGTCTCGGACCTACTGGTGGCCCTGCTCGTCATGCCCTGGAAGGCGGTGGCAGAGGTGGCTGGGTACTGGCCCTTTGGGGCTTTCTGCAACGTCTGGGTGGCCTTTGACATCATGTGCTCCACGGCCTCCATCCTGAACCTGTGCGTGATCAGCGTGGACAGGTACTGGGCTATCTCCAGCCCTTTCCGCTATGAGAGAAAGATGACCCAGCGCTTGGCTCTGGTGATGATCAGCGTGGCATGGGCGCTGTCTGTGCTCATCTCCTTCATCCCTGTCCAGCTCAACTGGCACAAAGGTGGGGATGTTGTTGCTGCTGCTGATATTGAAGATGGATTTGGCACTGCCTGGGCAGCAGCAGGTGCTGTCACCACCTGGGCAGAAGATAGGAGTACCACATGGGCGGCATTAGCGGCAGTGAGACCCTCTGATGGGACCTCTGGCAGCAATGATACCCTCACTGGACCATCGGAGAGCTGTGACTCCAGCCTCAACAGGACTTATGCTATTTCCTCCTCCTTGATCAGTTTTTATATCCCGGTGGCTATCATGATAGTCACCTACACCCGAATCTACCGCATTGCCCAGGTGCAGATTCGTCGTATCTCTTCCTTGGAGAGGGCAGCCGAGCATGCACAGAGCTGCCGGAGCAGCCACGTTGACTGCCACCATCACACAAGCCTCAAGTCCTCCATCAGGAAAGAAACCAAGGTGTTAAAGACGCTCTCTGTCATCATGGGTGTCTTTGTGTGTTGCTGGTTGCCATTCTTCATCCTGAACTGCATGGTTCCCTTCTGCGAGAGCCCACCCAGCGACCCCCACGCCGGCCTGCCCTGCGTCAGTGAGACCACCTTTAATATCTTTGTCTGGTTTGGTTGGGCTAACTCTTCTCTTAACCCCATCATCTATGCCTTCAATGCTGACTTTAGAAAGGTTTTCTCCAACCTCCTGGGATGTGGTCAGTTTTGCACTGGTACTGCAGTGGAGACTGTTAATATAAGCAATGAGCTTATCTCTTACAACCAGGACACCCTTTACCATAAGGAGATAGTGACTGCTTATGTTAACATGATCCCAAACGTGGTTGACTGTGAGGAGCATCGCGGGGACCCTTTTGATAGGATGTCCCAGATCTCCCCTGACCATGAGGTTGCCACTGACTCTGCCTGTGAGCTGGACTGTGAGGGGGAGATTTCGCTAGGCAAGATAACACCTTTCACTCCAAATGGTTTACATTAAATTGTGTCCTGGTCTGGTCAGTTCTTCTTGCAATATAAAAGAAAATATTAGCACTGACTGGAAACACCTGCTTGATGATGTGCTGTGGCTTGGTCAGTCAGTTTATGCTAAATTCACTTCTGAGGGTAGTACTTTGCAGGGTGTAGACACTGTCATACCGGGCCTGGCGGCACAAACTGAAATCAGCACTTCCCCAGGCTGAGGGCAGACCAGGCAGTCCTGGTGATTAGCTGTGGTGAGGTATTGTGGTATAATTGCAGTCAGTTCATGTTTATAATGTGTTTGCAAATGAAAGGTGCCATTGTCACTGCTAAGTATTATGACTTCTAAAATCAGGGAAAGATGTGGCTGGCATAGACATTAAATTAAAAAAAAATTTTGGGCTGTTGGTTTATTCAGATCTTATGTTTCTTTTCCTCCATTTTTTTGTTTGTTTAGTTTTTTTTTTTTTTTTTAAGATAGAGATAGTGAGGTGGTGATTTGGATGATTATTTAAATGCGTGTTTCTGCCAAAACAGTTTATGTGAAATCCTTGTGCTCCTAGGCGGCATTGTTGCCTATGATATCCTATGTTCCTGGATGAATAAATAAAAGTTATATTGATCAAGGGTTTATTATCTTTCATTTGTCACCCTGAAAGGTTTTATAACAAGTATTCCAACTAATGTTTCTATATGAATAGTTAGAATTACTAACAGCTTAACCCTATTATTTTAAAAGCAAATATTCTGGATAGAAAATACAGTTTTTGACTAAAAGCAAGGCTCATAGGAATTCTTGACATAGATGCACTTGTTTATGTGGCTCTTACAGCTAGATTTATACCTGTTTTTCTTTAATATTGTGGTGCTATCCCTTTCTGCAGCCAAGAATATCAAGTATACATATGGATAAGCTATTAAAACTTTCCATTTGATTCTGTACTTGAACTTTGTTAAAATGTTATTGATGTAAAGAGTTTGGTGATAGAATTAGGAGCTGGGTGTGTCTAAAAACAATAATTATGGTTGAAAATTATATTAATAATCATCATTTCCCATTGCAGACACTAGAGAACTCATTCACACAGAGAGAAGAAAGCAATTCTGATCATGTATTTTTTTTAGTTACTTATTAACTGGAATTTTAAGGTGCTGTAAGTACAACTATACTAAACATTTTAAAGCAATCTTTAAAACTGAAAAGAGTATTTTAGACTCTGTTTCTATTGAATCATTTACATCAAATGGAATATTAGAAACAGTTGTAAGCTTTCAGCTCAGAAATCAAAACTGATGCTATTTCCAAAACAAGTGATCAAAGGTAGTAAAAGCAATACCAATATTTATTTCAAGTTTTTGCTCACAAAGTGAACAACACTTGGATTAATTTACCCTTTAAAAATACCTGTGCCATGAGCTGAGCAGATTTGAGTGGTAGGTGTAGGTTCTGCAGCCCTCCCCCCTAATGGCCCTGAGCTGGGGCCTCCCCATCCTGTCTAACTGGGGGCTGAAGGCCCCTGTAAGATGTGTGGGGAAAAAGTGGGATCTGCATGGATCAGGGGAAATAATTTAACCAGAACCCTGGGACTTGTGAATGTTATGGGCTTAGTATTGAGCCTGCTTGGAAGTCCAACCCTTCATGCTGGTTTGGGGTTATCTTCCACCCCCTGGGGATATGGGGTGGGAGAAGCACAGGAGGCATGTGATTGAAATCCCTTTGCGGTGGCTCTGCTGCAATCTGGTCTGCAAGCAATGTTTTATGTATTTAGTCTTTGATATTAATTATTAATTAGTTGTGTCATCTTGGATTACCTTTTCAATTGCTTGTCACTGAAGATTGACATCTACCTGAGCTTTTTTTTTTTTTTTTTTGCTGCTGATATGAAATCTCAGTGTGATATCCCTTTACAGCTGTCCTTAGGGAAGGGTCTCGTGACTGTGGCTTAGGGAAGCTTGAAAAACAAATCTCATGCCCATAACCAGGTTCAGCCTACTAATGGATTGACACTGAGGGTGAATACATTCTTATGCTAAAGCAATCCTATGTTGTTAGAGTTAACCATAGTTCTAGCCTGCTGCTTAGATAAACTTGCCCAGAATAAAATAATTTTCTCAAATGAAAATGAAAGAAACTGCTTCTGGTGGTGGAGAAATTAATTATCCCAATGAGTAAGATTTTTTTTGCATTTTCTAGTTACTGCTCAGATGTTGAGGCTAGTAGACCATTTTAAGCTGGATTTGTGCAAAAACCAGTGATATCAGATGCAAGAGGTGCAGGCACCTGGTGCTGACTCCAGCTCCCAGGGCAATACCTGTGTTTTATCCAGTTTTTCTGCATTTAATCAGAAGCAGGCTGGGGATATGGGGATGTGAAATCTTGATCTCTCCCTGAGCACCTGTGTGCCAGCAGGCTGTGCAGCCTGGTGCTGCGTGGTTCCCCTGCTCCAGCAGCAGCACAGAGGTGTCCTCCCAGCTGCCCTTGTGTCCTTTCTGCTCCCCAGGGACGCCTGTGTGGCTGTGACAGCTCCCCTGGATCCAGCTCGCTGCAGCTGTGGCTCTGGGGTACACGTGCACAAAATGTTCCTGCACCCCCTGACCAGAGCTCTGCTCATGGAGGCTTTAC